ATGGTCTCCAGCGGCACCTGGCACTCCAGCACGGCGTCCTCCCGCTCCGCCACCTCCACGTCCGCCAGCTGCACCTGGAAACGCAGCCAGTGCTCTGCCGCCAGGAGAGATGGGCGCTGAGGGCGCGTGGGGCACGGCACCCACCAGCAACCCTTTGCCTGGGGCGTTCCCGGCCTGGAAAGAGCACCAAGCCCTTGGCCTTTCTCTGCCCCTCTCATCTTTGGCCTGTGTGGGATGGAAACCACACTAGAAAGCACAACCCCCAGAGCCGGGGGAACCACGGCACAAGCTGGGGAGACCCAGCGATGCCCCCAGCACCTCAGCAGGGAATTTTGGGGGACACAGGATCATTCAGGCGTTTTTGGGTCAGCCCGGCTGCAGGCTGTCCCCAGCTGGCAGGGCAGCTCTAGGGGACAGCACAGGCACTTGGAGCCGTGCCCTTGCAGGCTGCCTGCCAAAACTACTTGGCACTTCCAGGGGAATTTGTCACCAAGGCATTGGCCCCCCTCCTTGCTCGTGGCTGTACACCCGCAGCCCTGCTGCAGAGATTCCACCTCTCTGTTTGCAAGATGAGAGGGGCACAGAGTGGGCTCCCCCAGGGAGCATTCCCTCCTCCCAGCCTGCAGCTCTGTCCAGGAGACCCTGGGGTAACCCTGGCTGCAAAGGGCAGGAGGGATGCTGGGCTCACACACAGACGTTTCCCTGCCAGACAAAAATCCCTGGACCCCCTCAGTGTAGCCCCAGCAGTGCTTGGTAACGCTCCTACCTTTCACCGCGCTGAGGGTCTGCCCGGCGGTGTTGGATGCGGTGCAGACATACAGCCCCTGGTCCTGGGGTTTGCAGTACAGCACCTTGAGGATGAAGTAGCCCTCTCGGTCCTCATACACGAGGTGCCTACGGCCAGGGGCAAGGGGCTTGCCATCCTTCTGCCAGACGATCTCTGGCTTGGGCTTGCCGGTAACATAGCAGCGAAATTTGGCGTGCTTCCCCGCGCTCACGGCGAATGCCTTAGCCCCTGGCACCTTGGCCGTCACTGCGCTGTTGGGCAACCGGGTCCCCAGTCCCGCACGCTGTCCCGCTACGTGCCGTCGCCGTCGCTGCTGCTGCTTCACCAGTGGC